CCTTAATAAGCAAAGTAAAAATTCACTTTCAAAGAGTGGGTTGCAGGTGCTGCTAAATCTTCTTTCTCTATAGTCTATATATATATAAACCGATATACATCACATCACCTTGACTTCTCTCTTTCTCTCTTTTTCTTTCCCTCTCTCTCCAATCACTTTTTTTTTTTGCTTTTTTTCTTCACTAACTTTGGTTGTTTACAGCTTTTACTTTGTTATCTCATTGATTCACTAAAACCCCACTTGCATTGAACTAATATACATCTTTCTTGATTCATTTTGATACCCCATTTGAGTTTTGAGTGGAAAGAATTAAGAGTTTTTAAGGCAATGGCAGCTGCTCCTAAACCTGAAGAAATTAGTCATCCACCAATGGACCAGCTTCAGGGTTTGGAGTATTGTATTGACTCTAATCCTTCTTGGGGTATGATAAAGTTTGTATCTTTTTGAAATGAATGAGCTTGTTATTTGATTTCTTTGTGTTTTGCATGAGATGAATCTGTTTGAACTGAATTTGGATGTGTGAATGAAACAGGGGAAGCTATAGCTTTGGGCTTTCAGCATTATATATTGGCATTGGGGACTGCTGTTATGATTCCTTCATTTCTTGTTCCTTTGATGGGTGGAACTGATGTAAGCTACTTTTTCTGGAGTTTTCATGCTATTTTTTTTTCTTGCCAAAGTTCATGTATTTTCGTTGATTGTAAACTCAAAAATAATTTAATAACTCCTTCATGAAAAGAGAAGAGTCATTTTTACAAATCAAAAGAATGAACAGAACACTGTCTTGGACATTAAATTACTTTGAATGGTCTTTCACATTCTTATGCTTGATTTTGAACCGACTTGTAGAAAAAATTATCATGAATAAAAAAAATCCCATTTGCTTATGGCTTGGTTATTTATTTATTTATTTATTATTTTCTGCTGATTTTGGATGTTGTCATGTTTGGTGGCATTTTTTATTCTTAAATGGCAGGGTGACAAAGTGAGGGTGGTGCAGACCTTGCTTTTTGTGGAAGGAATCAATACACTCCTACAAACTTTATTTGGAACCCGTTTGCCTACTGTAATTGGAGGGTCATGGGCTTTTGTGGTACCCATAATTTCCATAATCCATGATTCGTCGTTGACAAGGATTACTGATCCTCAAGAAGTAAGTACTCTAAGAATCGTAGGTGAATTAACTTAAGTAGATATAGATTGGTGGGCCCATTATCCATCGGGTTTTGACCGGTGCACCAGTTGGCTCTAAGTGATTTTTCTATTATAAAAGAAAACGAGAATAGTAGGTGATTTGTCTGATTAAGTGTGCAGTATGATGTATGTAGTTCGTCGATTGGATTCAAGATAGCTAGCTGCATTTTGTTGCTCATAATGATGAAGTAGGAAGTGATTGAGAGGGCCACCCGGTGCACTAAGCTCCCGCTAATGTGCGGGTCCGGGAAGGGCCGGATCACAAGGATCTATTCGGGAGAAGTAGGAAGTGATTATTGGTCTATAATGATTAGTTCAATATGCATCCATTTCATGTATTGCCGTTGTTTTTGTTCTTTCAGTCTTAGCACTTTTGCTTTTGTGTTCTTTAACTTGTCAAGTAAAATCTTGCAAACTCCCTTCATCCTAGAAGTGGTTGTAGTGTTTTATGAATGGCTGACTTATTTAAGGAGTGCAAATTTAGTAGCCATTTCTTGACTTATTAATATTCTTCCAGAGAAAACTAACAGTATTTCTTTATTTTCGTTTTGTCCTCGCTTCTAGAGATTCCTAAGTACAATGAGAGCAATACAGGGTGCATTGATAGTAGCATCAAGCGTTCAGATTATTTTGGGCTATAGTCAACTCTGGGCTATTTGTTCCAGGTTAAAAATTTCCCCAAAGATGAAGTAGTTTTACACTGATCATGCACTGTTTCTCATCTTAATGGCTTCAACATACTGACTTGCCGAATACTTCAGATTTTTCAGCCCACTGGGAATGGTTCCGGTAATTGCTCTGGCGGGATTTGGTCTATTCGACAAGGGTTTCCCAGTGGTAGGCTGAGGATTTATCTACCAAAACAAAACTTATTGTTATATCCAGTTGTACGCTTTTGTCAGCTTACACTGACTACTGTTTTATGCTTGTGCAACTTTATAACAGGCTGGACAGTGTGTGGAAATTGGTGTACCAATGTTCATTTTATTTGTGATCTTCTCTCAGGTATGTCACTTTTTTGAAGCGTTAAGTCTTCTTTTTTGGGTCCAAAATCTAATAGTTTGCTTCTTGCTTATGTGAAACTAAATTCATATTTTTGGCCAGTCAGTCTTCTTTTGCAACGTCGAGAATTACGACAGTGCTATCTCCAAACTTTTCTGTCTTCTATTTCATAAATATAAATGCAAGAGAACTTCAAAATGGCTGCTTGATGATTAATTCATTTTTTGCACAGTATTTGAAAAACTTCCAGTTCAGGCAACTGCCGGTGATGGAACGATTTGCTCTAATTATGTCAATCACGGTTATTTGGGCTTATGCACACCTCCTAACGGCCAGTGGTGCATACAAACATCACCCAGAGGTTACCCAAAAACACTGCCGCACTGATAGAGCAAACCTCATCTCGACTGCACCATGGTTGATATCCAATTTCAGCTTCTTCCTCTTTTTAGATGAATAATGTAGCCTGTTTATATAACGGCACACTCTAGAATTTACAGTAGGGGCTGATAAACGACACATTTTATTAGAGGTTTCAAGTTCATATCTTGTCCACTTTGGTATTCAGGATAAAGATTCCATATCCACTTCAATGGGGAGCTCCTACTTTTGATGCTGGTCATGCTTTTGGAATGATGGCTGCTGTGCTTGTCTCCTTGATTGAGGTTAAACCTGAATAAAATTGATGGATTGTGGTCATGTTTTTTCCATTTTGTACACAGCTAAGTCTTACTCTTTTCTTCAGTCAACTGGAGCATATAAAGCAGCATCTCGCTTAGCAAGTGCGACACCACCCCCAGCTCATGTTCTGAGCCGTGGCATTGGCTGGCAGGTTTGTGCAGTAACTTGTAACAAACATGTTTTCTTGTAAAAGAATTTGTATGAATCCTTAATATCATGTTTTATGTTGAATACCAATAAATAGATGATGTTAGCAGCCTAGATCTTCCAATCCTTTTCCAAATCTCACCTTTTGAATCTTGGTTTGTCAAGTGATCAAATGAAAATTCACTTCAGCTGGATATAAATAATATATACATTGAGCCTCTGGAGTTCTCATGACAGTGATGATTCTCTAGTCTCTGCAAACCCGGAACATTCTATAGGTTGGTTGTAGTGAATGTTTCCAAGAGGATCTTACTTGCATAATTTAAATGCAGAATATAATGTTGTTGACTCTCAAATTCCCAGAATTTTTTTATTCTTGAAACAGAAGTATAATATTAGGTGCTGCATACCTGTTAACACCTTAGCTTGGTAGTGTTTAAGTGAGGATCTGAAAAAACGTTAAATATTTTAAGTGCAGAAAACTTTGATTTTCAACTCTCCAATGATAATTTCTTCTTGAAAAAAGATTGAATCACAGAAAGCCCCATATTATGTGAAGTTTTAGGGAGATATAGCTAGACACTGATGTTGAACTTTTGTTTGCAGGGTATTGGTATCCTGTTTAGTGGACTTTTTGGGACAGCCACTGGGTGCACAGTTTCTATGTTAGTAACTCAAGTCCTATATTACTTTATTCTCTGTGATTTTTCTCTCGGGTTTGACATATCTTTTATGATAACAGTGAGAATGTGGGTCTTCTTGGAAGCACTCGCGTGGGTAGCCGCAGAGTTATCCAAATTTCAGCTGGCTTTATGATCTTCTTCTCACTGTTAGGTGGGTGATTCCTGCCACATCTGGAAGTATCTTTCAGCTAGTCTTGACTTATTTCCTCATAAACAATCCATTATTTTGACATTTGTAGGCAAATTTGGAGCATTATTTGCATCAATACCTTTCCCAATATTCGCTGCTGTATATTGTGTCTTGTTCGGTCTTGTTGGTGAGAACCTTAGTAACTCATCTCCTGACAACTTCATTCTGTATATCTCTTTGTTTATCTTCCCCAACTGATAAACATTTCTTTTATTTCCAGCTTCTGTGGGATTATCATTTTTGCAGTTCACAAACATGAACTCAATGAGAAACCTCTTCATTGCTGGTGTTTCTCTCTTCCTCGGGTTATCTATTCCCGAGTACTTCAGGGAATACACTACTGCTGCTTTTCATGGTCCTGCCCATACTAAGGCTGGATGGGTGAGCCAAGCATTTTATACTTAACTTTCTAAATTTGTTGATTTCCTATAAAGTCATTAGTAACTGATATCTGGTTCTCCTGTAAATATGCAGTTCAATGATTTTCTCAACACCATCTTTCTGTCTTCCCCGACTGTGGCATTGATGGTTTCTGTGTTCCTGGACAACACACTGGAATACAAGGACAGTGCCAAAGACAGGGGAATGCCATGGTGGGTGAAGTTCAGGACTTTCAAGGGGGATAGCCGAAATGAAGAGTTTTACACTCTCCCTTTTAATCTCAACCGCTTCTTTCCACCTTCATGATCGTGTTAAAGATACAATTTTGGACTAAAGGGAAGGAGGTTAAAGTGATAAGAGTTTTATCTCATCCTATCTCAGGGTTGTTGACCCCTAATGATACATTTGGATCAAAGGACTGGAGATGAAAGGAAATGAAGACCTCTCTAGGTAGAAGAGTTAGATTGAAAGAGGAATGCACTATCTTAGGAAGTAGACATCAATTGACATGAATATTTATTAATTTATTTGTAGCCATAAATGTCAAGGCCTATTTTGGCATAATGAAAAGGTTTTCTTAAAAGATAGTACTGTTACATTTCATTTTAAACCATACTCTGTTGGATGCAAGCAAAAGTTTTAAGTATTTCGCAGTTACCTTATCCCTTCAATGACGAAGGTGCAAGCAAAAATTCACTTGCCAAAAGCTTTTGGACGCGAGCAAAGTTTAAACACTTTTTCCACTTGGATTTGATATAAAAGTGGGCCAACTTTATGTACTATCTGCTAATGTTCTTTTACACAACAAATCACTGTTGGACAAGGAATTTGGAGTTGCTGAGGAAAAGTTTGATCACTCTAATGCCTGCACATGCATTCTTTGCATCTGGGGTGTCGATAAATACTACGACCAAGACCTCGTACCTGCACTCTCTGACCTTCATCAATCATCTTTCGGATCTTCTCCTCGAAACTGTTCCATCCTATGGTCTTATTTCTTGACAAAATTGCAGCAAGCCTCTTCTTGCTAGGCCTCAACGTGGGAGCATGACCACCACCGTAATATGTTCTGAACCCTGACACAAGGGATGATAGCTGACTGCCCGAGTCTGTTATTGCAAATACATCGGATGTTGCACATGCAATGAAGTCCAATGCTGCAAGCTGCATTATAAGTGACCTGTTGTTAACATAATGTGTTCGTTTTTGTGTGTTCGTGTGTTTATTCCCATGCCTACAAATCAGAAGCAACTTACTTGAGAAGAAAAGTTTCTAAATGGCGCGAGTTCACTTGGTGTGAGAAGATTTTCCTTGGTCACTAGGTTGGGATAGAGGGTAGTTAAAGCTTGCATCCTTGATCGACCTCCATATATGTCAGAACCAGCAAGATAGATGTATGTTCCATGTTTGAAACCAAGGCCAGCGAGAACTAGTGCTGCTTCTTCTGGTGTCAGTGGACATTTGCCCATCCTTCTTAGCTCCTCTGGAGAATGAGACCTGCAGACACCAGTAAACCGAAACTTATGGTCAATTGAACTATCCCTCAAACTATGTCAAACTAAAAGGTGTGTAACTGTTGCACAGCAGAAACTATACTTTGATTCCTTAAGACGCTCAAGAAGTAAAGGAAAATGGACTTGTCGATAAGTTTGCAGTTCCCTTATCTCAGTTTCTCCACCACCAAATTCACACATAGAGTAGGCCACCATATCAATCTCAAACCTTAAATGTAAAGCAAGGTACTTGGAAGGGCCTTCTGCTGCACTATGGTCAACACGCGGCATTAAGTTTCCAAGAAGTTGCTTATCCAATGTGCTCCTTGCAAAGTCATACCTCCGAATCCGCCTAACCAGTAAAGAACCTGTCTTTTGGATCTTTGGCACAAACTTTAAGGCATGGAAGTTGCACTTGCACCTTAGTCTCTGCAACAAAATACAAATTTGTCTATAAACAAGAACAAAAAACAAAAATGCCATCATTGATCATTTATACAAATGTCTTATGAATAAGTAGCACAATCTAGATACTTTTTGCAGATGTCATACCAAACATACATATATTCCCTAGCCAATCAAACAATTAAAGAATGCTCTTCACCTGAAGTTCATATGGCAATGGGTCAAAGCCGAGTCTATTTCCATATCCTAGAAAGTGAACAACTCGATTGCGTAAGAGGAGGGGAAGTATCTTCTTAATGTATTCATCAGGTGTAGCCTCCTTTGAGAGATCTGCATCAGTTATCTAAGCAAAGGAAAAAAGGTATTATAAGCTATCCTCCAAGTAAATACAATCTGTCCCAACTTTTCAACTAAAGAGAAAAACGTACAAGACTTCCAGCTGCTTCTACATCAAGTAATTTCAGATTAGGAGGGAGCTCCTTTATAATATTAACTTCGTCCTTCAACATATCCATGAAATAGTCTTCTTGATATATATCCCCGAACTGGCTGTGCTCGCAGCAAAAAGAGTGTTATAGCTTGCTGTTAAATTAAGCCAACTGGTGGAAGAGATTTTGGCTGTAAAACAATGTTTCCTCTTTTCTTGGGTATTTGAATAACTAGAGGGACAATTAGAATCAGACAAATATATCAAACCTAGGATCCTTCCAGACATTGCTATAAAGAAACTTGGGAATGACCAAAGTGGCATTTAGGAGAGACGCTACAGCAACAGCATTGCAGACCTGCAGGCACAATTACAAAATTTCATTTCATGATCTATTCAAGAATAAGCAAACATAATAGTAAAAAGGAAAGAACAGTGTTCTATGCTTACAGCAACTCTCTGTTGATTTAGTCCTCCATTTGCGCTGATCAGTATATAGCCAGTGATGTTTCTAGGTTTCCCTGCCCTGACAACTTTAAACAATTATATACCGGAATTCAAAATTCAAAGAGTGAATCACCTACTCTCAGATATGAGAAATGGAACAATTAAAGATGCATATAGTAAACCAACATAATTCATGTATGAGCAAACTACACATAAGAGCAAAAATACCCTTACCTTGTGGACTAGTTTTATCTGCACAAGGTTTCCAAGATGATGCCTGAGGGTATGGCTCCTCCCATAACTTTGATGACTCTTGCTTAAACTCCCTCTGCAGCAATTTAAAGAAAGACAAATAAAAGGTAGAAGTTATATTAGGATCATTAGTGACTATGGTTTTAAATGCAATTTCCAAAGAACTTAATCAGGTTGAGTATCACAACAACCTCTGCAAGAGAAGCAGCAGCCAGATTTAGCAGCCTTTCATGCAGCTTTACTGGACCTTCTTTTCCTGTTTTCTCTATCATTTCCACCTTCATATACAAAATAAGATAGCAAAATTAAAATAAATCACCTTGCGGAGTTCATATTATATATTCTAAGAAATTCATGTTTACACATTCAATTCAGTATACTAGGGACTTATGTGAAAATCATAGTTCCTATCACCTTAGCGTTGTTCTATATCATCGTTATCTGGAAAGGCGTAAAATGACTGCTAGGAGACTATAGGAATCACAATGTCATACCTTGGTCTTACTTGAGCCTTGTAAAGAAAAATTATTCTGAAGCATTGCGGGGTCAAAAATCAAGCATACAAGAGAATCTAAAAGGACAAGAAAGCCCATTAACAAAATTGTGAAAACTATAGACCTAATATGCCTATGCAGCCACCACATTTGCCTCTTCCCAACATGAATTCCTTTAGAAGGAATGAACTTAACAGAGTCATTTTTCAACCCTTTGGACAAAACAACTTTGTCCCAATTGTAATCTCCCCCTGATAACCTTCTTCCTAAAGGAGGATCACCTCCCTGTAGCATATCTAAACTTCGAAATTCATGTTCTTTGACCCCAAATGATATATCTAATTCCTGGTTCTCCAGTCGACGACCTCTAGGAGACCGTTGTTTTCCCATTTTTTCTCACAACTTAATAGCTCAGAAAGTTTGAGCTCCAACTTAACAGAAGCAAAGATCAATTACACTGTCTCCTCCTTTTCTTTTTTAATATGTTTTGAATGCCTAGAATATAATACCACAACTATGTTTAAAATATTTCTGTGAATGCACATTTCAAGAATTGGTCTTCAACTGAAGTTTGTTGAGAAAGTTACATGAAAAATAGATCAAACTGAAACGTCTATGCATAAATTGCAAGTAAAGTTAAAGAAACTGGTGACTGTGACATATACAACCAAACTGAAACTGGGATCATCCAGAAATAACATATGAGTAAAATTTAAGGCATTAAGAAAAGAGGTTGAATATTAGGATAGTTATAAAGCTGACCTCGAATAGAATACAGAAAAAGATTGACATATCTACTAAAACTACTTCCCACCTAACTATGAGAAAGTCTGGTGTTTACGCTTTTGATTTTGTGTTCTTTTAATAGGGATTTTGGAAGAGGAAAATGGCTAACAAGAACCCCTGACACTTCTTCATTCTTACAAGAAAACTACCCTTTTCAATTCTTCTTTGGGGCCTTTTTAACTAACTTTTGATACCAAACGATTGGGTTGCCCATTCTATACTTCTTTAATTTATTATATTTTTATTTCTACTTAAATTTTTTTTATTTTCTATATCTTTTATACACATGAAAAGACAGTTTAAAAAGAACTTTTTCTAATTTTCCTATAATTACATTATGTGGAGATTCTTGTAATCACCCATGGTACGTAGCACGCAACTACGCGTTGCTCTTATTTATAAAGGAGCGCTGTTATGCAAGAATTTTCCTAATTTTTTGCTACGAAACAAATTTGAATTATTCGTTAAAAATTGCCTACAAATGATATAATTTTCTTTCTTCTTTTCTTTTTTTGTTCAAGGTGTAGTCTAATGGCAATGACGCAGGATAAAATCAGGGAGGCAAGAAATGTCCGGTGATTTCTTCCAATCTGCCCAAGTATAGGAGGTTGCACCTATTTTGGTGAAATCGTTGATGTTCGTGTAATCTAGCCCGGACGCTCTAATTTTAACTCTTTTTTTTCTTATGTCAATTGAATGGTAGCCCAAAATGACCTCAGCAAACATGAACTTTCTGAAGTAAGATATCGAGGCCTTCAAAACAGAAATTCAATTTTAACAACTTCACAGTAATATAATTATATATAAACATCTTCCTCAATCCTTTAATGCATTACTACATTTTCCAACATAGTTCTGAGGGTCTTGAGTTGAGCAAGAACATGTTTGATATTCATTCTTTCCTCTGGCATGTCCTTTGTGCACCTCAGAGCTAATTCCATGATGGATGATAAGCACTGCATCTTTCCTGTCTTGTTCTTCTCCTCTGGTATCATTAGCTCAGGATCTATTATCTTGTCCATCGCGTGTGGCCATGATTGTCTTATCCACTCCCTCAAGCTTGAATTTTCAGCAAACTGTTCATCTGTTGGCTTCTTTCTCGTAAATGTTTCCATCAACATGATACCATAGCTGTAAATGTCACATCTTGTAGATACTAATCCTTCCAATCCAAACTCTGCATTGAAATACAACAAGATATCAAGAGAATGTGGTGTCTTTCAAATGGTTGAAATTAGGAGGAGAAATGAAGCATTTTTTTGACATGATTTTTACCTGGTGCAATGTACCCGATGGTTGCAAGAGTTTTGGTTTGTGCAATACTTTCTCCTACCCCTAATAACTTTGCTAGGCCAAAGTCACTCACATGTGCAACCATATCTTCGTCGAGTAGGACATTGCTAGGCTTTAGATCACAGTGAACAACGGGCACAAAATAGCCGTTATGGAGATAGTCTAATGCTGATCCAACATCAATCATTATGTCTACTCTCTGCATGATATCTAAGGAACAACTCTCAGAACGAAGCCAATCGTCTAGGTTTCCATTAGGCATGTACTCTAATACCAAGGCTTTGAAATCAACGTTGGAGCAACTATTGATGACTTTAGCCAAATTTCTGTGACGAAGGTTGCGCAAGACTTCACATTCTGTATCGAAACTCTTGAACGCGCCTTCTGTTTGCAAGTTGAATACTTTAACGGCCACCATAGTACTCCCAAATGTAGCTTTGTAAACAGACCCATAACTTCCAGATCCGAGCAAGTTGCTCGTACTGAATCCATTTGTTGCTTGTTGAAGGTCATGGTACGAAACTCTTCCATGTACTGTGGCTGGAGAAGAATCCACCTGATGAGTAGCAATGATTGTTTTCCTCTTTCGATATCTAATCACCAAAAAGATGGTGAGCGTGACTGAGAGCATTACGATTGAAGCAGCCATCAGTGAGATCAACACAATAAGAAGCACCTTCTTTTTTCTTTTCCTATGAGGAGAACTAGACCTACATGCTGGTGTCTGCAATCTAGCAGCACCACATAATGCCTCATTTGAAAGGAATGAATCATAAGAGAAGTTCACAAAAGGACCTCCAGTTGGAATTTCACCACTCAATCTGTTGTAAGATACATTGAGATAGTTAAGATGTGAAAGACCTACCAATGATTTGGGAATTCCACCAGAGAGCTTGTTATGAGACAAGTCCAACGATTCCAAGGCGACCATGTTCCCCATTGACTCTGGAATAGGCCCTTCTAGTCTATTTTCTGCAAAAGAAAGTTCAGCCATATTTTGCATTGCTCCAATTGTGCTCGGGATAATTCCCGAGATTTGATTCTTGGATATATTCAGCAATGTTGCGACTTTCAGATTTCCAATTTCTGTAGGTAGAGAGCTTTCCAGGAAATTTGAGGACACATCAAGATGCAAGAGATCATTGAGGTTCCACAGGCTGGGAGGTATGCTAAAAATCAATTTGTTGGAATCTAAGTAAATGTATCTAAGAGATTTAATGTTCCCTAAACATGCTGGTATAGAACAGCAAATCTCATTATTTCCCAAGCTCAAGAATCCCAAATTCTTCAAGTTGCAGAGTTCCTCAGGGATAGGTCCACTTATCATTTTGTTGCCATACAAATTTAATGCTTGAAGATTCTCTAAATTCCCTATTGAACTTGGAATGAATCCACTCAAGTAATTGCCTTGAAGAAACAAGAAAGACAAACCACTTAAATATCCAATTTCACTGGGCATGCTGCCTCTGATTTCACTATAAGCAGCATAAACATAGTCAAGAGAACTTGAGAGATTTCCAACAGAAGCGGGAAGATTTCCATCGAGTGGATTATAACCTATCCACAGTTGTCTTAAATGTCTGCAATTTGTCAAGGAATCGAAGAAAGTCAATTCTGGAGATGAAGGTTCTCTTGTGAAATGATTGTCATTCACATTTAGGTACTCTAAACGTCTTAGATTACCAAATGACCTCGGAAAAGGACCAGAAAAGTTATTATATCCAATTCCCAACCGGAAAATGTTGGAAGCATTTGAAAGAGAGACAGGGATGGCTCCAGTAATGTTATTGTAACCAAGATAAAGTTCTTCCAGATTAGGAAGTCCAAGTCCTATATCTGCTGGAAGAATTCCTGTAAAGAAGTTCCCCAAAAAAGAAATGCCCCTTATGTTTGACATGTTGAATATTGTAGATGGAATAGGACCTGTTAAGAAGTTGTAGTGTAGATCTAATCTTCCCAAATTGAAAAGATTACCAATCTCCATTGGTAACTCACCTGATGATGTTTGAGTGACTCATCAGGATATGAAAAGCATAGCAACATACACCAAAATCTTGTAAAAGAAAAGGAAAAGATAATACCAAGAACCACATAAGGATAAGAATAGCATACCAATATACACCAAAAGCTTGAAAAAGAAAAAAACAAGATGATACCTATTAGGTTGTTTTCTCTTAGGAAGAGGTCAGAAAGTGAAGTGCAGTTTCCAAATTCTTTTGGAATGGTTCCACTGAATTGATTATTTCCAAGATCAAATGCTCTGAGATCAGGCATGTTCAAACACATATCCGGGGGTAATGAGCCAGAGAGCTTATTGCCATAAAGGTTGAGCAATCGAAGTGAAGTTATGTTACTTATAGAAGATGGTAAAGGACCACTTAGGCTACAGTTCTGCACATCCAGTATCTCTAGATTACGGAGATATCCAATCTCTTCTGGTATTTCACCTGCAAATTAAATCACAAATAGTAAGTCCGCTTTCTGCAGTAGAGCAATTAAGGAGCACATACATGACTCCAGACATATTTTTCATGTATGCGCAAAGAAGATAAAATACAAATATGTATAACTTACCTTCCAAATCATTTCGACCAAGGTATAAAGAAGATATCATAGTCAAGTTCCCAATTTTTCTAGGTATCACTCCAGTGAACCTATTGAATGATAATGACAAAATTTGAAGGTTTGAGCATTTGTCGATGTCCAAAGGAATTTGTCCATCAAATTCATTGTCAGATAGTGCAAGTACCATGAGTTCTGGGAGATTCGAGCATATATCGACAGGAAGGTTTCCAGACAAACTATTGTTTGTCAGGACCAAACGTTGTAACGATGAAATGTTGAACAAGCTAAGTGGTACAAGGCCTGTTAGCTGATTTGATCCCAAACTCAACCATGTCAAGCCTTGAAGATTACCAATTTCATTTGGAATTTCCCCTTGTAACTGATTAACTCCCAACACTAAACTCTCAAGCTTGGATGCATTGAAAATGGTCAGTGGAATAATACCTGTGAAACTGTTAAATGCTAGATGCAAGTGCTGGAGTTCTGGCAAAAGAGAAAACCATGAGGGAATATCTCCAGTGAACTTATTAGAAGTGACATTTATAAATTCTAATCTGTGCAAATTAGTCAACTCTTGAGGCAGAAATCCATGGAAACGGTTGCTACTGATATCGAGGGAGACCAGAAAAGACAGATTTCCCAGGTGAGGAGGGATGGTGCCTATTAGTTCCATGTTGGAAATATCCAAGGCTGTGACTCTTTGATGGCGAGAGCCGCATGTTACGCCAATCCACTTGCAAACTGAAGTGGCTGAGGTCCAGTTGCTTTTCAAGATATTATAAGTATCAGAAGTAACATAGGATTTCAAAGCAAGAAGAGCAGCTTCATCAGTTTTGAGATTGACTTCTGCAGCGGCTGATAATATCAGAAAATGGTGCCATATTGAAACTACAAGAGGGGAAAAGAAATTGTTTTTTCTCTTCATGATTGTGTTTATGTTGGAATAGAGAAAGTGTACCAGCACTAAGGCATATATCCCCATTACTACTAAGTGCCTTTTTGTATTCTGTAAAGAATTCAAACAGTTGTCCACTTTAAGGTCAATGAAGAGAAATAGAGGAAGGTGACAGACAATGATGATGTTACGTTTGAATTCATTAGTATTTTCCACGAAAATTCCTCAACATATAAAAATAAAAAGCTTAGAAACAAGCCAAATGATAGTCAACACTGATTGTTATTTTCTTCTTTAGTTTAATGCCATTTCAAAGACCAGAGACACCCTTTTGGACAAACATTATGTGGCTTTTCCCATTAATACCTCAATATGAACTCAGAATGGGTAACTTTGCTGAAAATGCCCTGAGCCTTACAAGTGTATCAATATGTCTAACTTAATCAAACCTAGCGAGTTGTTATAGAGGGGTGCTTAAGCCAAGACTGATTAAGTAGTAATTATTATCAAATTTCCCTTATTTTACAAATAAAGATTAACATCATGAACAGAAACAGCTAAGGAAAAGGAGATCCTACAAGTCAAATTATAGGATAGAGAAGCTGAGTTACAGACAATCAGTTCTTGGACTTTGAGCCTTTTAAAAGTCATAAATCACTTAATCATAGCAAATTTACTTGATTTGATATAAATACATTTACTCTGGCTATACCCTTAAGAAATATGTGACAAATTATAGAAGGGGCTTACGAGCTTCGTAAGAAATATTACAATTTGGACAATAACTCAGACCCAAAAGTTAAATCACAAAGAAGAGTGAATATTCACAATCACCATGTGGGACAGCTCAACAGATTCTAGGAATAAACTTCCCTTCAAATTAATCGTCTTGTGCAAATCGGTTTGGAATCGTGAAGAAAGAATCCATCGTTTTTGTTGAACAAAGACAAAGGTACCTGAAAGAAGGGGAAGATCCATAGCCGGGTTGTTTTTCGGAAAAGACAAAAAACTCCTCTAGTTAAAGTGCTGCTAGCGTCTTTGTCGGGGGCATTTAAGGAAAACAAAAGCTAGGGATATAGAATATTACTACCTCTATTTGTGAATCTGTTTGAGCACGGAATTTAAGAAAAAATGAAAACTTTTGGAATTTGTGATCCTAAATAGGTCAAAAAGGCCTAAGGGGTTAGAATTATAAGTTTAAGCTAAATTATTTTCAAATTTAAAAATAAAAGCGAACGGAGGTAGTACTACTTTTTAGGCGTTTCTGAGGTCATGAATCTAAAATTCCTTTCAATTTGATTAGAGGATTGGGTTTCATGTTCTTATGCCTTGTACTGTCCAATAATAGAAAATGGTACATTCTCTGGCTTTCACATCTCCAGCAACCCTTATCAGATATGGCAATATTAGTCCAAAAATTGGGGCTTTAACTAGGGCAAATGAGGCATCTATTCCGAGATCATTATTCAGAGTTCAGTCTGTGCAAGATAATGGTGGAGGGCCTCGGCGGCTAGTTGATATTATCCGTGTCGTGCCAGAGATTTCAAGAAATTATTTTAAAAGCCCATCAAGGAGGGCACTATTTGGAGGTATATCATTGCTGGGTGGATTTTATGTGGCTCAGACAATTTCTCTATCTTTTGGTGCTTTAGGAGTCAATGATGTCATTGCTGCTGTAGTCTGCGTCTTAATTACCGAGTATGTGACACGGTTCTATTACAGTCGGCCTAAAGTGACTTTTCCTATTGCTCTTTTGAACAACTTCAAGATGGGTTTTACTTATGGTCTCTTCATTGATGCTTTCAAACTTGCCAGCTGAACTAATTGTCTCAGTTTTGCAGCAGTAAGTAAATTTTTACCGTGTAGTTTCCCCCTATTGTTGTATATCTCTTATAACAGATCAACATATTGATGGAAATTAAAGCATTTTGTAATGTTTCCATTTTGAAACGATGCCATCAGGGGCGGATCCAAGATTTAAACTTTATGGGTTTGCAATGTCACAAAACCCACTGACTATCTGAGTTACATGGTCTAGTAGATTTGCCGAAGCAGTTTTACGGAACCTGTAGCTTCTATAGTGCATGGCTAATTGTGCTCCAATTACTGCGAAATAGTTCTACAACAACATCCCTTTCTTTTTGCTAATCAGCATCCGTTAAGAAAAAGATTTTAGGGAAAAAAGTGACAGACCGGTCTTGAACTTTGATGTCTAAGTATCAATTAAGTAAAGTCAAGTCTACTGGTCAGTAGATAGGGTCCGACAAGATTTTGCTGAACTTGTGATCTTTCTCAGAGTGTACTGCATTGTTTGAGAAGCTGGAAGAACCTGCTTTCAAGGTCCATTAGTTGTGCTAGTCTCACCCTCTGGAATTTTGCTTCGTAGGGAATATAAGACATGTCCAAAACCTCAAGGCTCGACAATTTGGAAAAGAGAGCCATTGAAACCTCTATTTCTTAGAGTCAAAACTTGAATCCTGTTCAAGAAACCAACCACGATGGTAGTTGCCCATTGAAGTTGTTCTAATCTAGTTTGATGCTTCCTAGTTGCCCATTGAAGTCGTTAATTAACCAGATCCTTTGGCAGATCTCCCATGGAAATAGTTCCACTCATATCATGAGAAACAAGAAAAGAGAGATTTCCTAATTCTTTAGGACCTCTAAGACCCATCACCCTTGTTCGAAACATCTATTTCACTTACTCTCTTGTGTAAAGCGCTGCAAGTGATTCCAAACCAGTGGCAAACTAGAATGGAAGTAGACCAATTGTTTGCCAAGATACCTTGAGGGTCTTAAGTTATTTGAGCCTTCAAGCCTTCAGGGCAAGAAGGGCGAATTGATCAGTGGTGATAGTGGTTGCTGCCATGACTTAGCAAACCAGTTGCCCAAAGATCAACAGTTCAAGAAAAAAGAGGTGCATGCTTCTCACTGAGCATATCTCTGGTTTTTGAGTTATGGGATTAATGAAGATACCACTAACATAGTAACATACTGAACCACAAAGAGAGTGAAGCTTTTGTATGTGATTATAGGAGCTGTCATGCTGTCTTTGTCAGTGAGAAGACAAATTTGTGCTGCAAGTGACAGAAACTATTGAAAATTGAAATAAAGAAACTTTCTGATATGTTGAGAGTCAATATTGGAGGATTAACAAATGTACGAAACCTAAGCCAAATGATGTACTAGAAACGAACCCAAAATTGTTTCTAATTTTTTACTGGAAATAGCTTTCTTCTTGGAGTCACTGGATTTTAGTTGCCAAGTGTTAGTGATTGGGCGGGTGATCTAAGTACTTGGGAGAGGAGTTTTCAGTCTTTTAGTTTTTTTCACCAATTAGGACCCACCTTAAATATTTGGGTTTTAAGTCTCAATTTCAATTGTGACTTGTGAGCGAGTGAAAATCTGGATTGTATTTGTGCTTTCAATCTGCAGTCAAGCTGTTAAGCATTCAACTTGGTAACCAAAAGAGCCTATAGCTTGTAGTTCAACATTTTACACTGCTCTTCATCGACTCTTGAAGCTGATTCTACATAATAATGATCATCAATATTATACAAGGCATTCTTCCATGCCAACTTCAGTACTCACACAAACTTTAAACACGCACAAAAGAAAAGCACAATAAACAAGAAAAGTCCAAATCTCGGACCAAATATTGGTTGTCATCTCAATTGGCGTCACCCAGAGGAAAAGGCTGCACTACCTGTTCAAAATTAAAGGGGATCAAACTTGAGTTGGCTCATTCATTATGGATACGAACGCAAAAATATACTAGTTGTAACTGAGACTTGAGTTATTTTCATAATTTTCCTTCGATAAATGAAACTCTTAATTTCTTGAACTTTAAATTTCTTTCTTAGTTTCATTGGACCTTTGTTTTCCTTTTATTTTGCCTTCTTAAATTAAGACTCTTTAAAAAGATGTCCTTCAATTCAGTTCTTTTTTTACTACAAGGGAGATGTTTGTATGAAAGAAAATGCTCATTTTCTACATTTATATATGGTATAGACAAGAAAATAATCATTTTCATCCGGAAGACATGAGAATATCGATGAAAAAGATGGATACTTACCATCATATAAACCTTGCTACATCATTTGCGAAGAAATTCCAGCTTGATCTTCTTGATATTTGCCAGGACATCTTTCATGTTCAGCCTCTCATTAGGAGATTCAGCTGTGCAATTCAATGCCAACTCCAAAATAGAGGACACACAATGCAACTTTTTCTTGAAATCAATCTCTTCTGGTTCCAATAAGGTGGCATCAATAATATCCTCTGGTGTTGCAGGTATTGAATTACAGACCCAACTCCTCATGCTCAAATTTTCTTGAAACATTTCGTCATATGGCTTTTTTCTTGTGAATGTTTCCATGAGCATTATGCCGTAGCTGTACACATCACATCTTCTGGAAACTAATCCTACCGATCCATACTCTGATCCAATGTTACTAGAGTAAATTAGTTACTTAACAAACTAAATAAATAACGAAAGTAATATCATATTTGGAAGATATTAAAAAAAGATAAATCTATCTTGAGTAGATAAAAATTAAACAACAACAACATATCCAGTATTATCCCACATCGTGGGGTAGGATGGGAATGAACCAAGAGTAAACAATCAAATGAAACGAAAAACTGCAAGTTTCTATTTTTATTTATTTAAATCGTCCTAGATGCATGAATATAGAGTTTGACATTGTCATATTTCCAAGTTCGCAATACCCTTTTTTTCATGCAAAATCTGTGATATGTTACATTAAAACTGGCAAATAAGATATTTGTGTTTGGCAAGCCAAAGAAAAAAAAATTGTTTAAAAGTCTTGTACTTTAAAGCCAAAAGCTATAAGTTGGGCTTATGTGAATTAGTACTACTATGTTATTTCAATAAATAACTTATATTCATTTAAGATAATTTTATCTATTCAATTTATAACTTAAAGATGAATTGAAAGATATAATAATTTGTATCGGAAATGAAGAGTCTTGCAATAATCTATTGTTTGAAAACATCCTTAATGGCATTTTGGTCATTTTAGTAGGAAAAAAAATGCTGATATGCACTTTTTTAACAAACACATCAACTGTTTGTTTCGGTCTCATCACTTCTGTCTAACAGTATAATTTCTTGTTCATAAAATCAGTTTCAACACTTAAAAAATATTTTCCGCACTTGTTGCTTAAAAGCTACATTCCTATTTTAGCTAGGCCAAATGGGCTCTATATTTCGATGTTTTCAGTACAAATTTTTCATGAATCTGTGATATATTACATAAAATTAGAAAACAAAAGATTACGTACTATTTGATACATTAGCACTTTATATTCGATAATAAAAGACCAAAAAAGAAAGTTACCTGGTGCAATATAGCCCATCGTTGCAAGTGTGTTAGTATGAGCAATAGATTCCCCTTCTCCTAATAGCTTGGTCAGGCCAAAGTCACTCACATGTCCAACTAGCCTTTCGTCTAGCAAGACGTTACTAGGCTTCAAGTCGCTATGTACAACAATTGTTGCATAACCATGATGGAGATATTCCAAAGCTGATGCAACATCAATCATCATGTCTAATCTTTGGATCATATTCAAGGAGTAATCATCAGAATGTAACCATTGCTCTAGGCTTCCATTGGGCATGTACTCTAGAAGTAATGCTTTAAAATCCATATTAGTACAACTGCTGATAACTTTGGTAAGATTTCTATGGCGAAGGTTGCATAGAACTTCACATTCAGTATCAAAACTCTTAAATGCACCTTCAATCTGTAAATTAAATACTTTGATTGCCAAAACCATCCCATTCGCAAAGATGCCCTTGTAAACAGAACCGAAACCTCCATGGCCTAGCAAGTTGCATTGGTCGAACCCCTGAGTTGCCCTTTCGATTTCAATGTATGAAATCCTGGCTAGTATCGTTGTTGCAGGTAAGGATTCGGCTTGGGTTGGAACATTTCTACGTCTCCTGAACATGAACACAACAATTGAGCCAAGTCCCATTAATGAAACCACCAATGGGACAAGTATAATCAGAAGAAATCTGCTTCTCTGTGAGTGGTGAACAGACCTAGCCTTACAAGATCGGAAAAGGAAACCACCACATAACTCTTCATTTCCCATAAAAGATTGAGAGGTGAAATTGAGAAAAGGTCCTTTACTTGGGATTTCACCTTCTAATCTATTGAATGATACATTGAAATCCTTGAGATACCGAAGTGCCTCTAATGATTTTGGAATCATACCTGAAAGAATGTTATTGGATAGATTCGCCGATTCCAAACTTATCATTTTTCCGAGTGACTCAGGAATAGATCCTTCCAACTCATTGAAAGCCAAAGAAAGATAAATTAGTTTCTGCAAGTTTCCGACTGTGGTTGGAATACTTCCTGAAAGGTGATTCCTCGACAAATCTACTAATGTTATGGCATCCAAATTTCCGAAATCCGGAGGTAAAGAACCAACCAAACAATTATCGGACAAGTCAAGAACTACAAGATCTTTGAGGCTCCATAGACTCATGGGTATGTTAGTGAGCCTATTTGAATTTAGGTAAATATTTCTCAAAGAGGTAGTATTGCCAATGCAATATGGTATTGGACCCGATATTTTATTATACGACAAACTAACCACGCCCAACTCCGGCAGTTTGCAAAGGCACTCTGGCAAGAGTCCACTTAACCTATTTTGATGAAGCGCTAAAACTTGAAGGTTCTGTAAATCACATAATGTTCTCGGCACTGATCCAGTGAAGTCGTTGCCAAATAGGGACAGAATGTTTAAGTTACTTAAAATCCCAATTCCTAATGGTATTTGTCCCCTAATTTCGGAACGATATAAATAAAATCGTTCAAGAGAACCGGAGAGATTGCCAATGGAATCTGGAAGAACACCATTAAGAGGATTATCCGATATAGCTATCTCTTTCAAAGATCTGCAGTTCGCCAAAGAAGCTAAGATACTTAGGTGCGGAGATGATAAGTTGTTTTTGGACAACTTCAAACGTTCAAGCTGTCTCAAATCCCCCAAAGAGTTAGGAATCGGGCCACTGAATTTGTTGTTGTTAAGATCTAATTCCTTTAGATTTGAAGAATTGGAGATTGAGCTGGGTATAACCCCATCTATGTTGTTCACACCAAGATGCAGATAATGTAGATTTGTTTGCCAGTAGCTTGAAGCAGATGGGAGGCTACCCGAAAGGTTATTAAATGCAAGTGACATCACTCTTAGCGTAGAGATATTGAAGAGCTCTTCCGGTATGGAACCACTTAGTTTATTAACTCCAAGAATAAGTACCTCCAATTTGTGAAGGCTCCCAATCTCTCTGGGTATTACTCCACCAATGTTATTTCCAAAAAGATTCAATAACTGTAGATTTGTTGGCAAGTAACCGAAAGCTAATGGAAGACTACCCGAAAGATTATTCGTAGAAAGTGACACCCTTGTTAGCGTAGAGATATTGAAGAGCTCTTCCGGTATGGAACCACTTAATTCGTTAAATTGTAAATAAAGTTTCTCCAACTTGTGAAGGTTCCCAATCTCTTCGGGTATAACACCTGGAGAGCAAAAATATTTAGACTGATGTTATTTTTAATTTTGTTTCCATGAAACCATTCAGAAAGAGTATATCTGGATGGCCAAACTACAACACACTGCTCGAAACTTACCTGTTAAATGGTTGGTGCTGAAATTAAGCATCCATAGCGATGTCATGTTCCGTATGCTGCGCGGTATTGAACCCACGATGTCGTTGTTATCCAGTTGCAATCTCTGCAAATTTCGTAAATTACCAATCTTTGCTGGAATTGTGCCTGCAAATTATTTTTACACAAAGCAACCAACTTGAAATATTTAGCTTCTTGTCTACGTATGTTATTGCTCAAATATTAATTCTCATATGAAAACTTTGAAACGTGCCCATACTAGAAGGCTTTTGAATATGGATAAGCTTTACTTTACCTTGCTAGCTACCTTAGCTTTTACCCATTTACACTTTCCGTCGAGTGTAGTTTTCTTTTTCATAATTTCTTGCAAATCAAGGACTCTTCTCTCATACAAATTATATAATAAGATTTGTGCATTTGTTGCATTATTCTTAGTTATTCTTAAATACCACATCTAAATTTCAGCGTTAAAAAATGTGATTATCCATTTTTGTTTTTGAAAAAAATGGAAATAGCTGAGTATGGGTTTGTAAATTAGATGATTACATGCGTTCAAGTTTTAATTTCGGCAATAAAGCCGAAGAGAGCTATTGAAAAAGTTGTTCCGATAAAATTGGAATGATACAGAGAATATTAGCATGGCCCCTGCGCAAGGATGCAAACACGCACAAATCGTCTCTGCTAACAAAGCATTCTAAATGCAAATTGAGAAAAGTATGTACCTTGCAAGTTGTTTCCCCCAAGGGCTAAGATCACAAGCCTCTCCAAGTTTACAATTTCTGGTGGAATGATCCCATTGAAGTTATTGTATGACAATGACAAGTCATACAGTTGTGTGCAGTTAGACAAACCAGCTGGAATGTGACCACTCAACTGGTTGGAATTTATTGAAATGTTCTTGATTCTTTGCAGACCGCGGCATATATCTGCAGGAAGACTCCCTGATAATTGATTATATGTGAGAGCTAAAGTCTCCAACGAGGAGGTGTTGAAAATGGAGTATGGAATAGCGCCAGTAAGTTGGTTACTGACTAAAACCAGCTCCTTTAAACTCTGAAGATTGCCAATATCTTTGGGAAAACTGCCTTGAAGATGATTATTACTAACACTCAGAGTTTCTAACTTGGACAGGTTAGAAATAGAAGCAGGAGGTATAGCAGTGAAACCGTTGTTATCAAGAATTAACATTTGAAGCTCAGAAAAGAAACCGAACCACATTGGAATCTCTCCACTGAAATTATTGTATCCCAGATCAATCACCTTCAATCGACGTAAACGAGACAAATCTTGAGGGATGTCTCCAAGAAAATTATTTTTGCTCATATCGAGTGAAACGAGAAAAGAGAGGTTTCCCAACTGTGGCGGAATGGTTCCAACAATATCCATGTTGGATATATTGAGTGCTCTCACCCTATGGTGGCGAGAGCCGCAAGTGACTCCAATCCAGTCACAAACTGAAGATTGAGAAGACCAATTTTGGGTTAAGGGATGAGAGTTTAGAGTAACTCTGGATTTTAAGGCAAGAAGAGCTGATTGATCTGTGCTTATGTTTGTGGCTATGCATGCCACTAACAAGTAGAGTAAATATTGGAAGACAACAGAAAGAATAAAAGAGTTGGCTTTCTCCATGGGTACAACTGATGTTTATAGTAGTATATAATAAAAATTGTAGATAAAATAAGGAATGAAGTGTTCAGCTATAAATAGAGATAAAAAATTGCTTAGGATGTTGGGAGGAGGGCAATTGGGGAAAACCAGTGTGTGAATAAGGGGCTATAAATTTTCCAGAGGCAGGCGACTTGACTTCGTTAAGTCTTCTGAAAGTTTGCCCCACAAAGGCGTTAGATTTCCTGGAGTCTAAAACACCTTCTTTTTGAATGTTGTATAATTTGTGACTTGAGTGTCCATCTTTATAAGTCTTTGGTATAATCTTGAAGCTCAGTCCCCTCATCTTATCCAATAGCATACTCATCTTGGTCCACAAAATATCACTTTGTTTATTAAATTTATTAAACACATAGTGACTTAAAAAATCAAGATGAAGAATATTAATAATCAAGTTTGATCATGAAGAGCACACGGTGAGTTACTATGTATGATATATATTGCAGCAAACAAATTTTTACAGGTGCACACCCTGGTGAATGGTGATACTTTACCTTATGAAGTTAGTGGAGATAAAGTTTCCATTTTTCTTCAATATTAGTTCAAGAAGTGCGCGGTATATTAGTGAATTTTAAAATGATATTTTAATAACATAAGTTAGATAGAAGAGATAAATTTTTCTTCGCTTGGAGCCAGGACTTCATTCCCCTACTAACACATCGTACAAAAAAGGAAATAGAATTATAAAATAAGTTGATACCATAGAATTTTTTTTTCTGGCCATAGAAATTGATTTAAAGGAAAAGAAAAGTGTTTCTTTTTTTTTTGGATTGAATGTCATGTCACCCCTTTCAAGAAGGAAGATGTGTGTTCAATCCAATTTTAATATTGACTAGTCTTGGTGTACGCGCCTTGCGCGTGTACCCATATCAATGAATAAATAATTTTTATGAGTCACATAAATATTATTAAATAATATATTTAAGTTATAAAATAAATTAAACATATAAGTTCCTGAAAATGATAAATGCTGATCCATTTAGTTAACTCTACAAAGCAAAAAATCCTGCTCCACATTAATATTGAGTCTTTTGGTCATTGAGAGACTTGAAAATGAAAGTGTGACGACCCTGCTGGTCTGGATAAACAGTAGTCCCTCCACCAAGTCTTGGCGGATCCTGCCAGTCGAAAGGTGATGAAGTCGACCCCATTGGTCTCCACAATACCATAGTCCGGAGAATCTCATGGCAGCTGAATAAGAAGTCCTGGGGGTCCTCTGTAGGAGCACCGCTGAAGGTGGTGGTGAAGAGCTTGGAGAACCTATCAAACCTCCATAAAGCATCTGAGGACATAGCCGCTCCATCGCCGGTCTGAGTCACAATACCTGGCTGAGCCGCCACAGCTGGTTGAACCACTGGAACCTGAGCCTGGGGAGCTACCTGCTCCGGAGTACGTGTAGCAGGAGTTTGAACCCCTCCTCCAGCCCGAGAAGTGGCTGGTGCTACTGGAAGGAAACCCGCTCTAGTGACGCTCTCCACAAAGCCTACCAATCTGACCAGAGCGTCCTGAAGAACTGGGGTGGCTATGAACCCCTCTGGGACTTGAGCTGGGCCTGGAGCCCCCTCATCATAATCAACCTGAGGCTCCACCTCTGGGACTGCCGCTCGGGGCTGAGCTCTGCCCCTGCCTCGGCCTCTGGCGCGGCCTCGATCTCGGCCCCTCGCAGGAGCTGCTGCTGGGGGCTCGGGCTGCTGCGCGGTAGAAGAGGAAGCACGTGTTCTCGCCATCTGCGAAAGAACAGAGTAGAAAGACAATCAGTATTTGAGAAACAGAATCGCACGACAGGTAAGAACAAAAGTGAAACTTTTCCTAACTCCGTAGCCTCTGGGGGATAAATACAGACGTCTCCGTACCGATCCCTCAGACTCTACCGAGGTTCTCCGTGAGTTGTGAGACCTATGTAACCTAGTGCTCTGATACCAACTTGTCACGACCCGGATTTCCCACCCTCGGGAGTCGTGATGCCGCCTACTAATAGGAGCTAGGCAAGCCAATTAATTTAACACGTCTCTCAACATCATTAACAGTATAAAGAAGAATGAGGAAATTAATATAAAAGCGGAAGTCTCGAAACATAAATAACTGAAACCAAGTGCGGAAATTCAAATACACCTCTACCCAGATCTGGTGTCACTAACTCACGAACTTCTACTGAATGCTAAATACAAAGTCTGAATAAGAATAAAGTACTGTCTGATCCGATACAAGGGAAATCAAACGAAAGACAGAGATAAGAGAGACTCCGGGCCATGCGGACGCCAGCAAGGCTACCTCGAAAATCTCCGGACTGAAGTAAGCTCCCAGCGCTCCTACTACTGTCCAAAAGCTCTTGTTCCGGTACTATGATCTGTGCAAAAAGCACAGAAGTGTAGCATCAGCACAACCGACCCCATGTGCTGGTAAGTGCCTGGCCTAACCCCGGCGAAGTAGTGACGAGGCTAGACAGGACCTACCAAAAACAACCTGTGCAGATATATATATACAAAGGCAACAAAAATAACAACAGAGAACATCAACTAAAAAGGGGAAGGGGGCATGCTCGGGGAAAATACAGTGAATACAGATCAACGGATATAACGACGAAACTATCTCAATACCATAGCTCATATATAAGTGGTCGGCGCGCCACACGATCCCATTTCTTAATTCATAAGTGGACGGCGTGCCACACGATCCCATTTCATAATATGTAAGTGGTCGGCGTGCCACACGATCACATTTCATAATATATATATATATAAGGTCGGCGTGCCACACGATCCCATTTCATAATATATAAGTGGTCGGTGTGCCACACGATCCCAATTCATAATATATAAGTGGTCGGCGTGCCACACGATCCCATTTCATAATATATATACATATAATCTTTCTAAAGGGGGCCCCATTAGGGGGAATGCAACAACATAACGGTTTAACCTGGCAAGGGTACAACTAACAGCCCAAATATCCCGGCAAGGGAGCAACAACAATAATAGACTACGTGTCCCGGCAAGGGAAAAGTCACAACACTTTCTCTTTTAATCACTTCTTTCTCAATTATCAAATTCTAGTTCGAGACAACGATCCAATAATATACCAATCGCAATTCCTCCTCAACCCTTCACATTATAGGAAACTTAGCAATCAAACAAGAAAGATGTTTCACAAAGTCCGGTTCAAACACAGTTAAGACCCACGGTCATGCTAGACTCCGGTGTATAGATAACCGTCACCATACCTATACACCGTACTCTTCATTTAGCAATTAGCAAATAATATCCTAATCCTATTCCCTCTAACCAAAGTTAGAACAAACACTTACCTCGGTCCAAGAATAGCAATCAACTCTCCAATACCGCCTTTTCTCTACAATCCGACTCCGAAACAACGATATCTAGGCATAATCAATTCAATAATATCAATAAAGACTCCAGAACAAAATCCCATAGCCTAGAAATGAAGTCCCTAGCATTCTTCCAAACATACCAAAATTCGACACCGGTCCCACATGGTCCAAACACGAGGCTCGGACCCAAACCCAATCACCCATAACCCCACGAGTTCAAATATATAATTTGTTTTAAGATTCGACCCCAAATTGAGGTTGAATCACCCAAAATTCTCAAAACCCTAACTCTACCCAAAACCCCTAATTTCTACTTTGATTTCATGATTTAGGGCTAGGAATTTAGTAATTACTAGAGGAAATTGAAGAAAACAAGTTAGATGATACTTACCCAAGAATCTTTGGTGAAGAATAGCTCTAAAAATCGCTTATGGGGTGTGGGGAAAAAGAGCTCGTGTGAAATTTGGGAATAAGCCCGCAATGGCTACTGTTTTGAACTTAAAAATTCGCTGAGCAAAATTGCCCTTCGCGTTCGCAGGAAAGGGGCTGCGTTCGCGAAGGGTAAACTGGACACTTCATCGTGAACGCGTGAAATAGAATGCGAACGCGTAGAAGAAAATGTTGGGGGGTCCAGGGACTGTTATACACGAACGCGTTGAGGAAGCTGGTAAAGCTACGCGTTCGCGATAATGATGATGCGAACGCGGAGGAGGGGGGATTAGAACTACGCGATCGCGTGAAGTAGGACGCGAACGCGTAAGAGGGGAATACCAAAGCACTGCGAACGCGAGCCTGAGGCCGCGTTCGCGAAGAACAAAATGCCTGTGTAAAAATGCAGCAAAATCTGATCCTTTCCTAAGTGTAAAAACACCCCGAACCACCTCCAATTCACTCCCGAGCCCTCGGGGCTCCTAACCAATCACACACACTAACTCAATAACATCCTACGAACTTACTCGAGCGATCAAATCGCCAAAATAACATCAAAAATCATTGAATCAAGCCTCAAGATCATCATTTTCATTTCAAACTTCATAACTTCAAATTTTAGATATTTAGGTCTGAAACACGTCAAATGACATCCGATTTCGACCAAACTTTACAAAAAGCGNAGACCTCGGAATTCGACTCCGGGCACATGCCCGAGTCCCATATTTTTCTACGGACCTTCCGGGACCGTCCAATCTCGAGTCCGGGTCCGTTTACCAAAAATGTTGACCGAAGTCAACCTTAAACATATTAATATCAAAATTCTTCAAATTTTTCACAGAATTCACATATTTCAACATAAAAGCTTTCCGGCTACGCGCCCGGACTGCGCACGCAAATTGAGGCAAGTAAAAATGAGGTTTTCAAGGCCTCGGAAGCACAGAATGAATGAGGAAACAGGTGATGACCCTTTGGGTCGTCACATCCTCCACCTCTAAAACAACCGTTCGTCCTCGAACGGACAAAAGAAAGAAGTACCTGAGTCAGGAAATAGATGTGGATAACGGCTCCGCATGTCAGACTCGGACTCCCAGGTCGAGGCCTCAGGGGGCTGACCTCTCCACTGAACACGAACAGAAGGAAAACTCTTCGACCTTAACTATCGAACCTGCCGGCCTAGAATAGCTACTGGCTCCTCCTCATATGACAGATCCTTGTCCAACTGGACTGTGCTGAAGTCTAATACATGGGCTGGATCGTCGTGATACCTCCGAAGCATGGACACATGAAACACTGGATGCACGGCTGACAAGCTGGGCGGAAAGGCAAGTCTGTAAGCCACCTCTCCCACACGATCGAGAACCTCAAACGGGCCAATGAACCTAGGGCTAAGCTTGCCCTTCTTCCCAAATCTCATCACGCCCTTCATAGGCGACACTCGCAGCAACACCCGCTCACCAACCATGAAAGCTACATCTCGAACCTTACGATCCGCATAACTCTTTTGCCGCGACTGAGCCGAACGAAGCCTGTCCTGAATGATCTTGACCTTGTCCAAGGCCTCCTGAACTAAA